AGTGTCACCCCAATGGGCTTGGCAGAGATCCTGTTCTGCTGTTGCCCCCTGCTAAGTGCAGAGAAAGGAATACAAGTATGTACAACAGAGGGAACAGACAGTAAAAATAAAATAGAAACAGTAAAATAAAATAAATCACAAAACCCCCTGTGTATTTATGGCAGGTAAGCTACGGTTTACATTTTTACATATTTTTTAAGGTTTTTTAATTTATTTTGTTCTCCTATAATTCCTTTTCTCTGCTAAGAACATTAAAAGTCCTTGCCTTTTTAAAAAACCTGGTGAGACCTACAGAAAATCCTCAGTTTATTGTTCAGATTAACAGAGAAATGTCCTGATGGTATAGGAGACAATTCACAATGAATTTAGTTTCTTGAGCACTAACCAGCTGGAACATCTCTAAATCTACTAATCTTTCTTTCCTATTTTCCTCCAAGTAAAAGAAGTAACTTCAAATTGACTATAATTTTGTCTTTTTTTTTAATGAACTGACTTTGTCAAACCTTAAGAGTGCAATTCTTCAAATAACCTGATTTTATTATGAGTTCTGATTCTTGTTCTTCAGGAGATCAGACTTGATTATATTTCTGGCTAAAATCAGTTGCTTTAAATTAAGAAAAATGAGACATACCATACTTGTTGTTGAACAGATTAGAAATCTGCAATTTCTATAAATCGATTCATATTGGCAGGTAAGGTTTGAGGAATTAAGACTTTAGAAAGAGGAAGGCCACCAAAAACTAAAACAAAGCATCTGGAATAGAAGAAAAGTTTCTGAAGTCAAAAGCTCAAATGAGCCTAAGGAGAGGAACAAGGTACAGTAACAATCAAGGAGAGACAGCTGGAGACAGAAGCCATGAGGCGAGGCTGTACAGGAGAACAAAAGACAAGAGGAAAAAATAAATGACAAAGCATCAGAATAACCTGAGGACTTGATTTTTCAGCAGTGCTGAGCACTACTGCACATTTAGCCCCTAGTTCTTAATGGACTGGTTCATCACAAAATCTTGCCAAAATACCTGAAGGATTTATGCATCTACTTATTTAAAAAGCAGAAACCTACACAAAAATAACTTTACTTAGATTAAAGGAAGCAACATGTCTAACTAAAGGATAATAAATTTAATTGTCAGGTATGAACATAAAGGTACAAAACCTTAAGAGGGAATAAATGTGTTTACTTTCAGCTTGAGTAGCTAAGTGACAGATAAGAGAGTGGCAACATTATCTATCTTCATCCAGTGTTCACTGTCTTTCTGGGAACGGGTTGATAAGTTTCAGAAAATTGCTAGTCTTCAAGTATGGCTAATCTATTGACAGCATTACTACAAATTAACCCATACAATTTATATAACTATAGCATAGTACAAGCACTCAAACTTGGCAGCTGAGTAGGTATTTCTCAGAACCATGGATCCATCATCAAGATGCCATGAGGTACTCTGAGTTTATACTCTGTATTTTGCCAAGTGATGCAAGTGAGGGGTTGCATTTTTAGCAATGCTGCATTGTGTGAAATTTAAAAATATTAACTTGCAATTTTCAAAATTAGAATGAAAATATCTGATTTCTGATTGTTTTCAAACTTTAATTTTTTCTGTCTGCAAAATTCATTCCCATACACAAAATTCCAGGTGTTATAAATAATAAGGCATATATATGAACAACAAAACAGCTGAGCCATACAGGTCTAGGCAATAAAAGCTGACGTACAAAAGGACAAAAATTTATGAAAGCCCATGAAATGCATGACAAATGTTGCAAATTGATCAGGTACTACACCACTTTAAATTCAAAAAAGCATAAGACAGCAAAAACTATAAATCACTGTGAAAAAAATTATACTGAAAAACATATAAAAATCATAATGTCTTTCCTAAAAATATGTGCTCAAGACATAGCCTAGTGGAAATAATGTACCTCTGATGCTCTTCCCTTAGTAGTGTAGAAACAGGATACTTGTAGTCCCCAAATTTTCTCACTTAGCCATATGTTGGCTGTGCATATATGCTCTTTCAGTCTGAGCAGAGCTTTGCTGAGCAGCCCCACATGGTTTCTGGTTATCCATCTACCCTTTGGTTGCTCCCTGGTTTTCCTGCAGGAACTGGCACCTCCTGCAATCCAGGTATATGGTGAAAAGTTCAACTACTCTGCTAGAAGGGAAGCACTGTAACCTTCCAAGTTACTCTTAGAGTTTTCATGTATTTCTCTTTTATAGAAGAATAGCAGCAATAGTAATATTTTCATAGTTTTAACATAGGCAAAATCTTCTTTCCATTAAAAAAAAAAGGAAAAGTACTGTTGTTATGACATAATGAATACTGGAACAGTTAACAGACTCTGGGAGCATACTAACTATAGATTTTTTTCTATTTATCAACTCTGAAACAAATGAAGGAGACAAGCAAAAGAATTGCATTGCTCCAGAGATAACATTGTTATAACTATTTTTTTTCTTGTGCCACCCAATGACTTGTCAAATCCATCTCTACAAGTTCCTGAACTTAGCTGTTATCCAGGTTAAACTGGCTCTGGCAATCTGAAAAAAAAAAGGATTTTTGAATTATATGCAAGGAATACATTTTTTTTTGGTAGAATTTATTGTAATGGAGACAATTTCAGATAATGGTTGAAAATAAAGAGAGGCCAGTCTGTGGAACTAGAGAGTGAAACAGAGGACATCCATTTGCTTCAATACATTTATTCTCTGCCACTTTGTTATCTTTTACTTCAGAATTTTACTTTGTTGTACAGCCACAGAAACTAAGAGCATTCATGCAAAGTTCTTTTGCTTCTGATCTACAAAAAGGACTATTTCTGTCTTAGGTTAGTAGGATGATGACATTCCCTTTATCTAATAGTGACTTTTTTAATGCCTGGGCACAAATTTACCTTTTGGGCTATCTTTTTTGAAATAAATTACACCTCAGAGTGGCTGGTGATTCTATCCAAAGATAGGCATTAGGTTCCCAGTTTTGTGTAAGGTACATAGTAATGGAGAAAAAAACAGGACAGCACTTAGACACAGTAACCATACAATAAGCAGCTATGTTGCTCATTTAAAATTATACAACAAGAAAAAATAATTAAATTCAAGCCATATTTAAATAATTAAAGCAACCATAGCCAAAATATAATGGAATCATAGAATGGATCAAGATGGAAGGGGCCTCAAAGGTCATTTAGATCCAAGCCCCTGCCATGGGCAGGTGTAGCTTCCACTAAACCAGGTTGCTCAAAGCCCCATCCAACCTGGCCTTGAACGCTTGCAGGGATGGGGCATCTACAACTTCTCTGGACAACCTATTCCAGTGCCTCACTACCCTCTAAGTAAAGAATTTCTTCCTACCCTCTGTAAGTTTAGAGTCATTCCTCCAGGTCCTATCCCTACATGCCCTTGTAAAAAGTTCCTCTCCCTCTTTCTTGGAGATTCCCTTCATGTACTGGGAAGGCTGCAAATGGGTCACCTCATAACTCTTCTCTTTTCCAGGCTGAACAACCCCAACTCTCAGGCTTTCCTCCATCCCCCTGATCACCTTTGTGGCCTCCTCTGGGCTTGCTCCAGCAGGTCTGTCTGTCCTGTAATGGAGTACTCCAGGTGAAGCAGACAGGGAGAACCACTTACATGTAATATATCATTATAAACTGCTTTTGAAAATGAAAGGGCTGTCTCAATGCCCTGTACGTACCCACCTTTTGCCAACCTGACCATAGCAAAAATTAAGTTGGCAGTTCTGTGATGAATTTCATTCCCTGTATCCTTTTCAGGACAATGAAACTCTAACTGTTTTGCCTCACCTTTAAACCACCCCTTCGGGTGTTAACCCAGGTTGGTGAGTGCCCAGGCCTGCCCTGTGAAGTGAGCCCAGCTGAGGGCAGACACAGGCGTGCAGGTACCCATGGCTGCCACACACCTTCCCAGCAGAGAAGGGAGCAGGCAGGCACCTCACAAGGCGATGGCAGGCTCTGCCCCTCGTGTCTGTGGCAGCAGCTCTTGGGTGGTGTGAGGGCAGCACCAAGAAAGTCCTGGTGGACAAGCTGTCCATGAGGCAGCAGCGTGCCCATGCAGCCAAGGAGATCAGCAGTATCCTGGCGTGCATTAGGAATAGCATTGCCAGCAGGCTGAGGGAGGTGATCCTGCCTCTCTATTCAGCCCTGGTTAGGGCTGCACCTGGAATGCTGTGTCCAGTTCTGGGCTCCTCAGTAGAAGACAGGTCGCTCCTGGAATGAGTCCTGTGGAGGGTTATTGAGGACAATTAGGGGAGCATGTCTCTTAAGAAGAAGGTTGGGAGAGCTGGGCCTGTTCAGCCTCGAAATGGAATGAGTGAAAGGGAACTTAATTGATGTCTGTAAGGGATATCAAGAATATGGAGCCAGGCTCTCCTTGGTAGTGCCAAGCAATGGGATGTAAAGCAATGGGAAGAAACTGATACACAGGAAGTTCCACCTGAATATGAGGAAAAACTTCTTTACTGTGCAGTTGACCACACACTGGAACAGACTGTCCAGAACAATTGTGGAATCTCTTTCACGAGAGATATTCCAGAACCGTCGAGATGCAGTCTTGTGCCATGTGCTCTACGATGACCCTGCCCGGGCAGGGAGGACCAGATGACCCACTGAGGTCCCTTCCAACCTAGCCCGTTCTGTGAGAGGGGCGGCAGGCGGGCGTCCCTCCGTGCCTGGCGGCCGCGGCTCCCGGGCCCTGCCCGCCGCGGGCAGCCCGGGCGCAGGCGCTGCCCGTGCGGCAGGGGCCGGCGTGGGGCGGCGCTGCCCGTCTGCCCCGGGGTGCCCGGGCCGGTGCCTGCCGCCGCCCGCGGTGCCCGCGCTGCCGGCGAGACGGGGCCGCGCTAACGCGGGGCTCACGCAGGCCGGGGAGCGTGCCGGGGCCGGCGCGGGGCGGCCCTACGGGCGGCGGCCGGTGCGAGTCGGCGGAGGGCGCGCAGGCGAACGCCAGAGCTGCTACATCCGGGCTGCGGCGGCGGCACCTGCCGCGGCGGGGGCCTCGGTGACATTGGGGCTCGGCGGCTGAAGGGGGAGGCAGCGCTGCGGAGCCCGCAGAGAGCGAGATCTTCGCCCGCACCCACCAAACCACCACCACCCCGACACCGCCGCCATGGTGCTGGGCACCATCCTCACCCACGCGAAAAAGCACCCGGCCGTGAGTACCTGAGCCCGAATACCCGGCCCCGCGCCCGCCCTTCTCTGCCGTCGCTCGGTGTCCCCGGCCGCGCCGGTCGCCTCCTCCTCGCCCATCCATCTCTTGGCGTTCCTGTGCGTGCCGAACCCCTGGACCGCCCGGAGCTGGCCGAGCAGACACGGCCAGGTCCCTTTTTTCCTCCGGTTTCTGCGGCCTTGCTCGTGCTGCAAGGCTCGAGGTGGCCCTTCCGTTCTTCTTGCCCACCATTGGCCCCCACTCTAGCCCTCTCGTGTTTCTGGTTTTGTTATCCGAGTACAGGCGGTAGGGGCCATTTTGGCGGTGAAGGGACGGTTGTCTGTCGCAGAAACGCGTCGCAGAAACGCGAAATAACGGAATTTTTTGTTTGGTTTTGGTCTCTCTGGTGTAGGACTGTTTTCCACATACCTGCCTCTTCATAGCTGCTAGTTCCTCAATGACCCCAGGGATACTCTGCAAACAGGGAATTTATGCCATTTGTTTAGAGAGCCACGTGTTCGTAAAGTCCATAAGATTGTTCTTTGGCCTACCATAGCTGATGTCAGGAGTGCTATACTATTCTGCTATATTGCGGAATGATACTTAATTTTTTTGTGTTGTTATTCCAGTTGATCCCTCTGTTTGTCATCATTGGATCTGGAGGTGTTGGTGCAAGCCTGTATCTCATGCGTTTGGCAATGTTCAACCCTGACGTTAGGTATGTATTCAATAATCTGCAGTGCCAGTCCTCTTGCTGCATATGTTACACTCCACTGCTTTGGTTTTTATGTTTCTGGACACCTTAATGTCTTGGTCCAGGATCACCTGACATTAGGTGTGTGTAGCTTTCCTTGATTTGGAGATCTCTTTGTTTACCATGTTACTTAGAGACTGCTGACAAAGGACAGTGCCTTTTTCTGTGGAAACTTGCTTGTATGGGTGATTCAATGACCTAGTAACCACAGTACAGATTTCTTTTTTTTTTCCAATTTGGAAGACAGTGTTAATATTCTCTCACATCTTGCATTTCTCTCAATAGCTGGGACAAGAAAAATAACCCAGAACCTTGGAACAAAATGGCTCCCAATGACCAGTACAAGGTAAAATGAGAAATACAGATTTTCAGGAAGCATCATATTAGAGGTGTAGCCTACTGCTGTAGGATGTTTGATTATATGGGAAAGTAGTTGGATAAGTGATGTATTCCTTTTGTGCAGCATTTGTTTGTCTCTAGAACTCTGAGCAGAGATGGCTGAGTTTGAGGTTTAAAACTCTCCTGATGGTGGTTGATAATGGGGTGAAAGGAATCTGTATGAAAGCGGTCATATTTATTGCATTGAAAGGAAAAAAGCAACTGTGAGAGGAAGAATTTACTGGCTCATAATACTCAGAAATAAACTACAGAAGATCAGTTTTCTAAGCTCTAAGCTGTTGGCCTTTACTTATGAGAAGCACTGCAGGAAAACGTCGGTGTTTAATGTAACCATGAATTCAGGTCTGCAGGTCTTGATTTTTTGAAAACAAAACAATGTTAACAAAATTAATATCCAGTAAATAACTGGATAGAAGTAGAAACGTTCCTTAGCTGATATTCAACTAATTTCATTGAACTAATGAGGAAGCATACAAAGATGTCTGAAACATTTGGTAGTTTACAGGCGTTCTGAAATCATAGACTCATTTATGTTGGAAAAGACCTTCAAGATTATTGAGTTCAACCTTTGACTGAACACCATGTTGTCAACTAGAGCATAGCACTAAGTGCCATGTCCAGTCATTTCTTCCACACTTGCAGAGATGGTTACTCTACCCCCACCCAGAGCAATCTGTTTCAATGTATGACAGTCCTTCCAGTGAAGAAATTCTTCCTGAGGTCCAACGTGAACCTCCTCTGATGCAGCTTGAGGTTGTGTGCTCTTGTCCTGTTGCTGGTTGCCTTGGAGAAGAGGCCAGCCCCTACCTGGCTACATCCTCTTTTCAGGGAGCTGTAGAGAGTGACAGCCTCCCCTGAGCTTCCTGTTCTCCAGGCTGAACAACAATGGCTCTTTCAGATACTCCTCATATGACTTACTCTCTATACCCTTCACCAGCTTATTATCCTTCTCTGGACATGAATCATGTTTTAATCATGCTTTACAGAAGTACTATGTTAGTAGATTGCTGTTAAGAATATTTTAAGATTATTTTCAAGCTTCAAAAAAAGCAAACCTACTGTGTTTTCTAAGATAGTTTCTTGTTTGGTACCATATACTACTATGCAAATCATTGAAATAAGTAGAAAAATCCCACACTTCCAAAATAAAACAGGTTGCAGTTCCCTTAAAAGTCGAAAAAGAAAACGTCATTCTTTTGTTTTCATTGCCAGTTCTGGAATGTTGCTGGTTTGTAAATATCTAAACTTGGCAAATCCTGCATAGTGCACAGCACAAATTCTTTTAAAGAGTGCACGACTTGTGTATCATTCCCCTCCTGCCTTAATATGCAAACACAGCCTCAGTGTTTGCCATATTTGGGTGTGAGAATCATTGGGGACATTTTTTCCAAATCTGCCTTGTGGGAGAGGAAAAGGACATATATTCTAATTTGAGGATGACTTCAGTAAAAAGTTCTTGCTATACAAGTCTAGCTTTTGACGGGATTTTTTTTCTATTGTAAACTTCTTTTTGTCATACTAACTTCCTCACTCTTTTTCCAAAGAAAAGAGTTGATGACCTCAGCATTACTGTAGGAGTTGCAGAGAAAACTGTAATTTGAATGTGCTGTAGGCTGTTGTGTTTTCTTTAAGAAAATTTTTAAAAATTAAAAATTGGGTGTAACTAAAAATAATCAAACTGATAGTTATGTGCTTTTCATCTTTTTGTTTTTTTTAAGAAAAACTGTACTATCACATGCTTGCTGTCAAGTCAGGCTGGGATGCCAAAATATGCAGTTAGTCTGCAGTTATTCTCTCGTGCATATGAGTTAGTAAACTCATCGTCCTCCATCACTTTTTGGGTTGTTCTGGATTGCTTGTAACAGGATCCAATTATAATAGTATAAACTGAGCATGTGAGAGGATCCGTTCTGACTTTAATTCCTCCTTGTCATCCTTTGCGGTTCTAGATGCAGCTACCTAAACCAAACTTGGCTTTTGTAGCACTGCTCTAAATGTTCCTTTGTGCCACTGTATGTTCACAGACACTGTGCTTTGCACCACATGGCAAGCTGGCTTTTGCCTTCAGTATACAGGAGCCATAGATTCTGAGCAAAATGGATAAACTTACCAGTACTGTAAAAAATTCCTCTGAATGGACTTCTAATTTTGGGGGTTAAGAAGAGACACTGCTGGTTTTTTCTAGTGGAAGACATGACCACTCATTTTAAATGCAGAGCTTCTAATACTGGGTATAAATTAATATTAAAAAGTTACTGTTTATCAAAGGTTTTTGTTTATTTATTAGTGCCCGGTTCACAGACTCAAAAAATGTTTTCAGTTTCCTGGTGTAAGTTCAATGATGTATATTTTTAGTGAATACCAGGGAAAATGTGTAATCAAGCTTCTTAATTAATGTTCTTTCCCTTCTCTTTCCTAGTTCTTCTCGGTTAATATGGACTACAGTAACCTCAAAAAGGACCGTCCTGACTTCTAAAAACCAACAATGTCCATAAGCTGCACAGAAAGGTCTTCCGGAAGCTGTTCGCACAAGTGTCATGTTTAATCATCCAGGAAATAAGTAAATTTGCCTCACACAGCACCAGGTCATGTGTTTGAAAGTGTTTTGATGAGGCTTAATAAATGTTTAAAACTTGAAGTGTCTGCTCTTTCATTTTGCAAAATGACAATATCCTCCTATTAACAGTTTCTGCTGTATGGTTTGTCAATAAGCAAAAGCCAATTCACGTTTCCTCTACAAAAAAGCAAAGTTGGTGTGAAGTTATGCTCAGTGTGTTGATAACTGCATGCTCATGCAGTTATACCAAATTTCAAGAATTTAAATGCATGTATTTATATGTATGCATACATAGATTTTTAATATACCTGAATTTATCTACTTGCCCCTTTAAGAAGTTTTGACTGCTGAAACGTCAATGCCAGCAAGTCATTATCCATCAGGGAGGGAGCAGATGTTGCCATATGTTGCTGGAGGGAAGGAAAAAACAGACTGAGCTCTCCAAAAGGTTTTGTGTCTGTTCTTTCTTTTTTCTCTTCGAGTTTAGCAGGTTTTTTTAATAAACAGAAGGACAACTTTCAATATTTAAAAAATAAATTTCTACAAACATTGTCATGATGTCCTGTGGATCACAGATTTAAGGAAGGAAAGCACGTAGCAGGAGAGGGTTTTGGGAAATAATTAGCTATTTATGTAAGAACAAAAAATACCTTTTAGAAAGGGCAGAATCTTATACTTTAGTACTTGGCTGAGTCTTACTATGGGAAGACTAAAAGAAAATACTTTTGCAAGTCTGTAACTTATGGTAGGTTCTTTGTGCTTTACTGTGAACATCTGGCACTTCCTTGGATAAGGGGTATTAATTCTGGACTATCTGACAGAGTACAGCTGTTCTTATCTTGATACTCTGCTTAAAGTTGACTCCAAGAATGTAGATAACTATAGCAACTATTGCAAGTAATAAAGCCAAGTCAAGCAGTAAGAACTTGAAGAAGCAAGACTATGCTGTGGTAATTGCAAAATAACGGATATTTGCAAAGACTTCATGTTTCATATGGAACAACCTTGTAGGTAAAATGATGTAGTTTATTTGGTAGCAGTTCAGATTATCCTTTTATTATGAACTGAACCACTGGATACGCTCCCAGTTTTCATTTGCTTGAAAGGCTCTCATGAAGTCTGAATAAGAAAATGTGTGTTAAGACAAGAGGCATGATTACAGTGGTGGGCAAAGCCTGTGGGTGTCTTTGGGGAATTGTTCCTCTCTGGATCCAAATAGAACTGTTGCAACACTTGTTCAGTTTTAAAAGTATGTTGTAAAAACAGAAAGTGTTTTATAACTTGTTAGCTGGCAGTTCATTTGAATTTTATCTCTTCAAATAGATTCTCTGAACATTTAGGAAGACCAATATTCAGGAAGTAAACCTGATTCTTAGGTGAGACAAGGTTATTCCTTTTGTGCACAGCTGATGAAAGCAGAGGCTCATGTCTTTCTTAATAAAGGCACTTCAATGCATATTTAAAGTACATTTTAACAAGTGCTTAAGCTATTTAAATCTTTGAATATAGATAGACAAAACAAAAGGCAATTAATTCAGTGTTACTTGTCTTTGCCTATTACAGCATACTTGCTCCTAAAAATACACAAAATTTAAAGTCTTCTAAGTTTAATTATTTTAGAAGTTATCCTGAGGGGGCACTTCCTCCTTTTTCTTGTAGGGATGTACTTCTGTTCTACGTTAAATGTAGTGGACAGTAGTTGCCATTATTTGCCAAACTTAAAAGTAATAAATGTCATAAGAATCTTTCCTTCCTTCCCTTCCTTCCCTTCCTTCCCTTCCTTCCCTCCCTCCCTTTCTTTTGTAGGGTACTGTTGAAAGAGAGCGAGCTTGGCAATATTTTGTCTGTATTAAAATATTCAAGGATCTTAAGAGCTGCTTCTTTAAAACCATCACCTACCTCTTTCTTCATAAAACCAAAGATGGAATTCCCTGAAGACAGCATGAAGAAATGACTGCAGTTTGGATTCTTATGATTACATCTTATATTTACCTTTGGCTATTTTATGAAACAATGAAATCCCATCTTTAGTAGGAAAAGTGAAATCCTTCATTAATGCCATGGCTTGTAATTTTGTTGAGCAGATGTTCTGTTATCTGAAAGAGGCTGATATTCTGCTGTCTTAGATTTCAGCTGAGATGGATACAGCCACTTGATTTCATTTGTGGCACATTTTTTTGGAATGGTGAGTGTAGACCTGGTCTTCATGTCCTTTTCATGAGCCACATACAGAAGAGTCATCTCTTATTTTTGCATTAAAGCATTGTGCATACTACAGCATTGTGCTTGCATCAGATTTCTGTTAACAGAGTTATTCTGTGCCTCCTTATCAATGATCCTGATTATGCAGCAGAGTAATTAAATCTGAAATTAATTCTGCTCATCTAGGATAGAAAAATTTACAGGTTTCTGTCGTTCTAGCACATGAACACATATTTTATGCAACATCTGCAAAAAATTTTTATTTGCCTGCAGTAAGGAAAGCTCCTTGTAAGTATAAAATACCTAGCTGCCTCTAAGAAATTAGAAGGGTGTGCCTGATATTAAAAGAATAAATTAATTTTTTTTGTGGGATTTATAGGCAAATGTCATCTGAGGAATACATTTCAGATCTGTTTTCAACCTCTGCTTTACCTTTAAAGTTTGGAGCATGACTATTGAATGACCTTTAAAATAAAGAAATGTATGTTTAATGCTGATTCGCTTGTAAGACTTTGTCAGGAAGAAAGATTGGGAAGTTATTACAGGAATTTTAGAAATGTATTTTGAGTGGGCTAATTGAAAAAATTAGAGATGTACAGGTGCAGACAAAGTTATTGTTTCTACTGACTGGCCAGCCTTACTACGGATGCAGCTGCATGAGCTGTGGAACCATTTCTTCAGTACAAAGTGACACCCAACAAGTCTGTGACAACTACAGAAAAGAGGTGTTCATTAGCATCATTGCCACAGTAGGGTTTTTAAATATTACTTAATAGAAAACTTACTCTTCAGTCCTTACTTTTGAAATCCAGAAAGTGGTTGACTTGATGCTCTTGTGATCCATTTACTTTTCCTTAGAAGTGGTCTTGACATCAGTATTTCGCCATGAGAAGTTTCTGTGAAGCTCAAATCATTTCATATCCTCCTCTGATCTTTAGGCTTCTTAAGACTGTCTTTGGACACTGCTATGATGGCATATTTCCCAAATGTGTGCTGATTCTGGTGCTGTGCAGTTTGGAAGAAATTTGTTAGGTTTGTTTTTTTTTTTTTCAAAAATTTCAAAGTGCTGCTATCTGTGGTTGGTAAGGCTTAACACTTTCTAAGGATGACACGAACCAGTACAGCTTCTTAATGCAAGGAGATACAAACCTCTTCCATTCTTGAGAAGCAAATCCATTTTTAGCATCCAGAATAATGCTTATCTGAACCAGAAAAATAATTTGCTTTCTTTTTTTTTGTTTTTCTCCTTTTTGAAAGTTTCATTTAAATGAAAAAATAAAGTAATGTTTAGACTTTCTAAGCTAACTATTCTCACAGTTACAAGGTGAAGAAGCTAGGAGATCACCACACTTCAATTTTCTTTTCTATTTTCAGTCAGAATCAGCGATGCTTTAGGTAATGTGAAATGTGAACATGAGTATGCAAGTAAAGGCAGGAAAAATGTATTGAAACTTCTGATAGTTAACTATCAGTATTTACCTACTAGAATTGACACAAGAGTGGCAAGTGGAAGTCCTGCAAGAGACAGCAAGTTCTGAAGATGATGATAAAATAGTTTATTAACACATGGCAATGCATACATTACAAAGAAGAAAAGAAATTCTGCTGGTAATATTCATGGGTATTGTCAATGCTTTATAACAGTCACCTAAAATAATATTTCTAGGGTCATTAATTTGAATTACTTTGGACAAAATAATGCACTACACCATTTACAGTTCATCACTTTAATGTAAAGACAACTTTACAAGAGAACTGCACAAGCCATAATCCAATAGACAAATTTATAGACTTGTTTTTTTCACATTGGAAGCAAACTAACTATGAACATGAAATGTTTTCTAATTTTAGTTTCTCTACTGCAGGCAAATGAAACAAACTGCTGAGAAGGTAATGAAAACAGATTACTTAATGGTGAAAAATTTGAGTGCCATTCTTTTTCTACCAGTGGTGCCACTGCTGGAATTTAATGGAGTGGCACCAGTGTGTCTGAATGAAGATTTTGATCCCAGCTGTTTAAAAATAGGGTTGAATCTAATAAGATTTCCTCAGTACTGATAGCTTTTTTTTTTCTCCCTATACTGAGAGCAGGAAGATAGAACTCGTTATTAACATGAAGAAAGTGGAATTTCATCCCAGTTTCAAACTTGCTGGTCTAGTTCCATGATGATTTATTTCAGATGTTCTTCATGTTAGGTCAAACAAATTTAACTTCCTAGCTTTTTTTGAAGATTAAGGGAGACAATTTCAGCCCAGCAATAATGTGCTTAAAATGACCAAGGATGATTGAAGCCTTTTTTTTAAACTTTCATGTGAAAGTCATCTCTCTCCTACCCCTTTATAAAAGCCAGGTAAGTTCAGGAAGTATTCCAGGAGGAAAAAAAAGAGCAACAGACATGTGATGGAATAGACAGATGGAGCTGCATCAGGTTTTACATCAATTACAGTAAGTTCTTGGATTTATATGGTGCTTTCTTAGTTTATGTCCTTCAATTTCTGCATACATTTGACAATGCAGAAGTTGTTTATTACACCAGCCATGACTGCTTGGCCTATTAGGATACAGTGAGAATTAGGCTGAGAGTAAAGACAAAAGCATGATATTCCAATGGGTTTAAATTACTGCACAAAATAATAAAGAGTAGCAGAATAACTGCAGAAGAAGGTCTGGTGCAGTGTCTTCTGAATTTAGATTACTAATGACAAGTTTGTATTAGTGCCTTAGTGTGAAATAAAAATAAAAAGCAATTTTATGGGTCATTTTGAAAATAGCATTCTTTCTTTCTGCATTGCCTCATAGAAGCACAGTTTCTAAAATGTTCCAACAATGTAAAATAAACATGTGAACTGTGTCTGAACTGTATGCATTTTAGTTTATG